AGTGCCCCCCCCTCCCCCTCCGCCTCCCCCAGCACCACCACCTCCCCCTCCCCCCAGCAGTTCCCTGCCACAGGTAAACTGTTCTTTTCCTCTTTTTTTTAACAACTCACAGATCTCTTTCAAACTGACCATCAACCAAATACCTGTAGGTGGTTATGAATTATTGATGGAAGGTGGCGATTACACACACACACACACACACACACACCCAGAGCAGACAGCAGACCCTGACCAGCCGTAGAGTGTTATGTTTCTACAGCAGCCTCACAGCTTCCTCCTGGTAAATGAGCTGCTGCAGATCCTCACAGCAGGACCACACACGTGAATGTGGGAAACTACAGCCGAACAGTCTGACTGTCTCACGACACGTTCAAGGACAGTACGGGGAGTGAATATTCCAACCACAACTTGATGCTAACACCAACCACCTGAACACGATTCTGACATTGGAGCAGTAGAACCTCAGTGAGGTCACAGTCAGAACCACTGGTTCTCAGATTCATTCTGAGATTATACAAATCCGTGAGTTTATCTTTTTTCCTCCTCCAGTTTTCGGCGGAACCTCCTAAACTCCAGTCCGCAGGAGGAGGCGGCGGAAGAAATGCCCTGTTGGCTGACATCCAAAAAGGAGCCAAGCTCAAAAAGGTCACACAGGTCAACGACCGCAGCGCTCCCGCCGTGGACAGTGAGTGGAAAAAGCACATATGTAGAGTGTGTGTGTGTGTGTGTGTTCAGACCTGTAATGATGCTCACATGACTGAAGCCCTGAGTCATCTCCTCTCACTGCGGACGCTGCTGTCAGGAGGAAGTTCTGTCCAACAGATATGGAGCAGAAGAGACTTAGCATGACACTAGGCTAATCTCCACAGTGGTTTAAACAACAGCAGTGACACATGTTGTCCATGTGTGTTCAGTATTTCAGCTGATGTTCCCATCATACCTGTCCTCACAGGACTGACACAGCAGTCATGGACGGTGACGTCTCCTTGTTTTTTCCCAGAGCCTAAAAGCAGCAGTGGAGATGCTTCCAGCAGCGTCGGATCTTCTCAGAGCTCTTCAGGGGCAATGGCGCCCACAGCGCCATCATTAGGTGGACTCTTCGCTGGAGGTTTCCCCACACTCAGACCTATAGGAAAGAGAGAGGCGACAGGCAAGACCACAGGTGGGTGTAAAACATATCTGTGGTCTTTAATCGTGAAAAACTATTTTAATTTCTCATAAATATGAAGTTAAAACATGATATTTCACGGCCAAAGTCACTGAAAATATATCAGACATTAAAACAAAACAACTGCAGGTTAGAGTAAACATAAACTGATAAAATAACATGAGCCAAAAGATAGAAATTTAAAAAAAAGTTTAAACATAAACAGCTTAAGGTTGGCCTCAAATGAGTCAAATAGTTAAGTCCAAAGACTCTTTTTTTTGATTACGTGTTATTGTGTAAATGTTCCTGTAAACCTCCACCTGTTGACCTCCACCTTCATCTGTGTCCAAGTGTCTCGCTCCAGTTCCACCCTCTCCCTAAAGCCACTGTGGAACGCTCCCTCGTCTGCTGACGCTGAGCTCCACAGGACGGCGGAGCTGCGCGGCGCTGCCAACCGTGTTCACGCTCCATCCTCCTCCGCTCCACCCTCCCCCTCCCATGGCAGCAAGCACCCACCTGCCTTTCCCGCGGCTCCTCTTCCTCTGCCCCCCCCTGCCCCTCCCTCGGCCCCTCCCCCACCTCCGCCACCACTGGCCTTCCCGGATCGTCCAGCCAACAGGCCTCCTCCGCTCCCCACCTGCCCTCCCCCTCCGCCTCCACCCCAGGTCACCAAGCCAACCTGGCTTCCCATCCAGCACGGCCACCACATCTCCCACCCTCCTACGCCTCCTCCCCCACCTCCACCTCCGCCTGCCTCTTTCCAGCCTCCCTCTGCTGTAGCAGGGGACCGCTCCTCAGGTTGCTTCTACCCTCCGCTGCCCCCTCCACCACACGCCGACACTCCCAGGGTCCCCACCTTGCGGCAAAGCCCTCTGGGACCTCCACCGCCGCCTCCTCCTCCTCTTCCTGCATCCTTCACACCTACCTGTCCATCATCTCTCCCCCCTCCACCACCAAAGCTGGCTCCAGTGCCCTCTCCGGCCATGCGCTCTCTGCCCCCGTCTTACCCCTGCAATGCCCCCACCCGACGTCCACCTGCTGTACCCAGAAGTGCAGGTTTGTGAAGAAGACATTTTAATTAATAGTTGGTAGAGTATATATATATATATATAATATTCACATTAAGTTTTGTTTCAGGTGCAAGTCGACTGGCGCCTCCTCCTGCTCCTCCAGCACGCTCCCCTACAACTGAGTTATCCACACGCATTCCTCCTCCTCCACCACCTCCTCCTCCTCCTCCTCCATTCAATCTCAGGAACGGATACCTGCACAGCCTGGGTAAGGATGGACCTTTGATAGCTTCATACACTTCACCACTGACTAATCAAAGTGGACAGCAAGACAGCAAGAGTGATGCTAAATGGGCAAATAAAGATTTGGTTTTGGAAGGGGGCGGGACAACTGTCCATTTTGATAGGATTCAAATTTAAGCAGAATTTCTGAGCGACCAATGAAGTTTATAAATATTTGTTTGATCCATTAGCCTTTAGCGAGCTACTTGGAAAGGGGCGACGAGCCACTGGTAGCTGGTAAGCAATGTGTTGGAGACTCCTGCTTTAAGCCAATAGCATAGCTGCATGGTATTAAGAAGCTTTATAAGAACCTTGAATTCCACCGTAGAGATGGTGAACTCTACTTTAAGACGAACACCTCCTCTCTGTGTTCCAGCTGATGATTTTGAATCAAAGTTCCAGTTTCACCCCGTGGAAGATTTGCCACCTCCTGAAGAATTCAAACCTTTCCCTCGCATCTACCCCAGCAAAGAGAACAGAGGTAGAGCACAGGAAAACACGCAGTACATCCACATACTGTGTATAAAACACAGCCATGATGTCAGCCTCACCCCACCTCTGTTTCCTTCCCTCTCCAGTGAACCCCAAACCCCCAGGGATCAGGACACACCTCAGATGAGTCCGGGCCTGTTCTTCCTCCCACACACAGCAATAAGGCTCAGTGTTCCTCCTCATGACAGTTACACAAGCATCATGGACGTTTGGACTCGGCGTGTGTGTGTGTGTTGAGTGTATTGGAGAGTACAATATGTGTGTATATGATGAGTGTCAAACAGATCGCACCCTTATTCTGACTGTGACCACTGACCTTTCTCCACTGTGGAATGTTTTGAATGTGTGTGAGAAGGAGGAGGCCTCTGCCCACTTGTGGTCATATACTGCACACACACACACACACACTTCCATGACAGTGTCTTCCAGGAACTATAATTAGCTGACTTTTGACACAGTCTGTAACATCTGTGTAAATACGCCACCGAACACATCATTCGTCCAAACCATTCGTCTTTCGTTCCTCCAGACACAGAGTGGCTCTCCAGGCGGATTTTAACCCGTTATTTTGTACCACATGTTATCATTAACACTTGTTAAAATGTGTTGCGACTTGCAAGAATGAAACTGACACAGCAGGTTGAACCTGCGTCTCTCCAGGTTCTAGGTCTTTTTTTTTTTTTACAGTTTTAGGAATTCTTTGTAGTAAACAGTTTATGTTATGTTCAATCTGTACGTTGAGACAGCAGAGCAGCTGAGTGCTCGCACAAGAGCTCCTCTAACCCCGGATGTCCTTACGGAAAATGGTTGTGCTTTGTTTTATTGTAAATGATTGTAACCTAAAACTTTATAAAAATATAAAAAAAAAAACAACAAAAACCAACAAAACCAAAGCAGTTGTGCTTAAATGTGACTTCAAACAGTATGGAAATAAATGTTTTATACTACACTTTGGTGTATTATTATTAATAAATGAGTGAGGTGTGCAGTTACTTGTGTACTTACGGGAAGACAGTGCCACCTGCTGGTTAGAGATGTGAAAAATAAAAAGGTAGAAACTTACCACTAGAGACACTAATGCACAAACCTAGTATCATTTCCTGAAGCATCTGTTCTGACAAGTTCTCAGGACAGTCAGGATTCACGTCTGCACAGAGGGAAGATTATTAGGTTAGAATCACATGCATCTTAACAAAATGGGTAAAAAAAGGGCAGATACTGGTTTTTGACACTGGACTGTCCAATGGGTGAAGGCATTCTGTTCAGTCCATGTATTTTACTTAAATAATTTGAATGTTAAATGATACATGGGTTTTTATTAACATTTGTTGCTGAATATTTTAAATAATATTAATAATAATAAAACCGCAGCCTTTCACCAGTTGTTTTTTTAATTAGGATCATTGGAATCTAAAAACAAAGGAAAATGCTTAAAAGAAAAAATCAAAAATAGAAAATTGCTATTGCAAAATCACCACTTGACCCCCAAACACAGAATGGAAGATACTGTAGTAAAGAGACACAGGGTACTATGGACACTTCTGATCCACAGTGGACACTGACTGACAGAGCTGTGAATCTGAGTGGGACTTTAAAGTTCGTCATGTTTGTAGGTGAACTCTCTGGCCGATATGAAGCCGTCCTTGTTCTTGTCCTCTTTTTCAAAGATATCCTCCATCATGTTCTCATGGAGGGTGTCGTTGGGAGGGTAACCGTGACGCTCAAACTCCTTCCTCAGATATTCTTTCACCTGGTGGATTGAGTGGGAGCAGAAGGTCAGAGAAGTAGAGAGATTGCAAAAAACAAACTTAAATAATAATAAATAAAATGATACAAATGTTATACAAGTGTGTATGTTTGGGTGCAGTGTCCCAGAGCTGAGGCCTATGTAACACCGCCCTCGTGTGGTTAATAGAGGGATGACAGAAGCTTCATACACAACAATATTGAGTGGTTCAAAAGAGAATCTAACGTCCTATTACAACTTCTGTCGTATTTCAGTAAATATATAAAACTGGAAGGTTAATGTTATGGGAAGTTGGCAAACACTGCTTGTACTTTGCAAAAGCATTTTGTTAAAAGCATTTTTTTTTTCTTGCCATACGTTTCACCTCTGGTCTTTACCTCGTTTTTGGAGAGTCTCCAGTCATCGTTCAGGTCCATTTCCTGGAAGGACTCATGTGATCTTGGTCCATTTCTGATCTCAAGGACTTCAATGATGTAAGTCAGTGTGCTTTCAGGTGGAATCTTACCTGTGAAGGGGTGAAGCAATGCCACAAACTGATCACTTCTAAAATGTTAAGGCCCATTGTAGCTGAGATGGTTTCTTGTTCTTTAAAAAAATCTTAAAACAAAGAACAGGATGGCAGGGTGAAAAAAGTTGGAAAACCTTAAGAAACTGACAGAAAAGAGTAACTTATACCGCAAACCATTCAGTACAAAATAAAGTACAATGAAATATTCATTATAGTTAATAAAGTTAGTAGTTGTTATGTGTGTTCTTACCAGAATAAACCAGAACAGTTCACATGCTTCTTGTTGGGAAAGAGGGGACTAGAATCACTGAATGTTACCCCTTATTCAGTGTGGCAGTCCTAGGAGGCCAACAAGACTGTTTTACATACGGACATGCACAATACACAGAATAGATATATATCCCATGCAGTACAGTACAATGCATTGCTGAAAAAAAGGTGAGTACTGTGTACCTGTGTAACAGCATGCAGGGATACAGTACGTGCACAAAGCAGTCATACCTTTTCCATCTTTCCCATAAGCCAGTTCGGGAGGTACGATGAGCTTCCGCTTCTCTCCAGCACACATGTTTTGCAGACCCTTGTCCCAGCCCACTATGACCTGTCTGATGCCCAGTGTCACCCACATTGGCTGTTTGTCTCCGTCATTTCGACTTGTGGACGAAGGAAGAGTTTAGAATAAAACACTTGGTTAACTAGGATCTAAACTTATTTCCCAAAAACACTTACTGTGTACTGCATGTATGTCAAAAGTCATGGAAAACAACATAATTTCTCCAAACATGACGTTTAGTGAGTGTACTGTACCTTTAAATATTTTACAGTTTCAGGTGTTCACGGTAAAAAGCCCCGTGTGGAACATACCTTGCGTGAAGCATGGTTCCATTCTCAAAGTATACTTCGTGGTGAACAAGCAACATGTCTCCGTACTTAGTTTTTCGGTGACAGAGGAAAGGTCTGTGCATAACCTCTATCTGAACCTCGGCCTCTGGAAGTTTCCCGCCGCTAACAGAGAGCAGCAGCATGAAGGCGCAGAGGCAGCGCAGCAGCAGCATCATGCTCCCTGGACACATTCACGAACTTTTTGTCACTATCATCTGTACAATAATGAACAACATGTGAACTCGCTGCTCTACGTGGCAGTGACGTTTCCTCATACAATTTGTTGCCGGACATCTTTCTGTGATTGGTTACGTTTTCTCAGAGGCTCCACCCACAGACGCGTTCCAAAGGGTTGCCAGGTCTGTTCGGTAGATATTCCTTTGTCAGGAAGTTGGAAATGGAAAATAAGCACATTGTTTACAGTTACTAATTTCCATAATGATTCTTGCTCACATGTTAAATATGAACTAGGAATTGGGGACGTTATCACAAAGTACAGGAATGTGCATAAAAGCAGAAACACACACTCTAAACCTGTATTCTAACGAAATAAAATACTTTAAATGATCAGACTGATCTTCATTATTGTATATATATATATAATCTTTAATTTACAACACATTCAAGCAGGCAGATGATCACCTCATTAGTCACATGGTAGTGATTTTAACTTTGTTTATGAAATGTAACTGTCTGTCATGCTGGCATGAATTAAAAAACTGAATATTTTTTCAGGGTTGTTAAATAGTATATTCATTTTCCTCATTGTCACACTGCTATGACATTAATCTCTAGGGGGCGCTGGCTAAAGCAGTTGATTTTGCCCTCAAACACGTTTACATGCAACATCACAACACTGCACCTTTGCCCTCAAACACGTTTACATGCAACAGAACAACACTGCACATAAATATGTCTTCTTCTACACTGTACAGAAACAGACACACGCCTGCGATACACACATCAGTACAAACAGTAACAGTAATATTGCTGCCTCTTGTATGAAGGGGTTCTTTTTTGACAAAAGTATGAGCATAGTTTATTACTTTATTAACAGTCACTGAGTCATACCTACATAATTGTGTTTTTTGTAAAAAAAAAAAAAATCTTTTCCACAGTTATTGTTATAACAGTCTTTCAGCCATTGACGTGACAATAACAAAGAGCTGCTCTTAAAGAGTTTAACCTCCAAGGGGAGCAGTCGATTCAAAGCTGCCTCTCCTAACTATTCATGGCTCAGAGACTCAAGAGTTTCCTGTCACTTCTCTCCTTCAGTCCATCAATTTATTTTTAAGCGTCAGACTCCTGTAGAAATCTGATGTGTAATCCCCATGTTCAGGACAAGGAATCAAAAAGTTTCAAAAGTTACAGTGACTTTTTTTTTTTAATCAGGTGAAGTACGTGCAGCCGGTTGAATCAATGAGGCAGGAGTCGGTGCATCTGAGCTGCCCGAAGGATCTGCAGAAAAAATACAGCATGTGAAATTACTGCAAATTATGTGTAGATTTTAATGCAGACATCACATCCTGCTAAATGTAATTACTGGCAGGTACGTCCCCTTGCTTCATGTGTTGTCACTTTAAAATAAGAAGATTACTATTTATGTAAACCGCATGTTCAATGAAAATGGATTGGTTTTACTTAGCTCACTGCTAATCTTGCTCTAGATTCCATGTGCAAAGGTTTCCTAAAAGTACTGGGGGACCTGAGACGTCCGCTGATGTCTGAATGTTGTGTTGAGTAAACATTGACACTTGTGCTGTGACTGTGCTTATACCCAGGCAGATAGGTCTTGCAGGTCTGATAGCCAAAGTCCTTGCCGTCACACTCCTCCATGCCTTCATGTCTGTAGCCGTCGCCGCAGTAGGCCCACTTGCAGTCTGACGTGATTAAGGGGAGATGAGAAAACGGTTGTGGTAGACAGAAGAGTAAGAGAGAAGAAAAGGGGGTGAGGGTGGGAGGGGCAGACATTACTAATTGCTTTGGCACTCCTCCGTGTTTCTTTGATGCCAATGCAGCATTTTCCTGCTAATTTAATTGAACAGCCAAGACAGTTGCGAGGGGAAGGCAGAGAAAGAGAGGCTAAGATTAATGAAAGATCAAGGAAAGGTTTTCTGATTGCTCACTGCTTTTATCCTTTGGCATGTGTGGCTCTGCACTGTAGTTAGACTCTGCAGGACACACCAGAGCAGCTGGGTGTATGACAGCATGGTGTTTGTGCAGAGAGCAGACCTAACTAGCAGCTTAGCATAAATCATGTAGGAGCTATTCAGTATAAACTGGATAACCTGGATTATGGTTCCTAAGGTGGAGTCGAGTTCCATTCCACGCATTATTGAGCAGATACTAACTGTAACTGTACATGTCATGTACATGTAACTCACTGAGGCAAGAGTCAGTGACAATCTGGTTTCCGTCGTCACACTCCTCCCCGTGCTGCGACTGCACCTTTCCATCTCCACACACACCCACTCTGTCCGGAACTTTCTCCGTGGACTGGAACTGCTGGAAAGGCTGAAGAAAACAAACAAACAAACATTACATTTATGTTATATCCAAACTTAAAATGACTGAAGTGATGATAGTAAAGAAACAGCTGAGACCTGTATGGGTTTCCATCCATCTGCATCTTTAAAATACAGCATCCTCTGATCCTTCCTGAAGACTATTGTGTTGTCCAGCTGGAGACGGCTCATCTCTTCCTTACTGTCCACCACGAATATCTACAAACAAAGTCACAAAATATCTTCAATACCCAAGTGTGTAACTTTGACTTCCACTTCTTTCACAGGGTTCAGTTGTGAACGAGCCGGCTCTTACTGCAGGGACTTTACTGGGGCCCCCACGCTGAGTGTAACTTCCATAGGGGGCGTTGTTAGATCCGAGGATGGTGTCGCAGTCACAGCGACCTGGAGGACCTGGAAACCCCTTCTCTCCCTTTTCTCCAACCAGATACAGACCTGCAGGAAACAACAAAGTCAAAACAAAGACATAACAAACAGGCGGACAGTCATGAATGTGTAAATGCCGTGAGAGTTACCTGAACCGGGGGGACCAGGTGGTCCAGGAAGGCCGTTTGGACCAGCAGGACCTGGGGGACCCACAAGTCCTGGAGTTCCACTGTGGCCCTTCATGCCCTTCGCAAACCAAGGAATGTTAGAGTATAATTACACACATACACTGAAGGTGACCTACGTGCCACACACACTTGTGCACAGCTGTGATAATTAAGTGCATGGACAAAAATGTGAGCACATATATATATAAATGTGTGTGTGCAGGCTCAGACTGTTAGCTCCTCAGCTTCTTGGTCTAAACTTAGACCCTGAAGTAAAGTTCACTGTGTCTCTCACACTCACCTGTTTCCCTCTCTTTCCGGGCCGTCCCGTCGGTCCTCTCTTCCCTGATATTCCCGGCTCTCCCTTTGGTCCTTGTTCCCCCTGGAAAAGAGGGAAAACAGCGGCACTGACTGAGGGTCTGATATTAAATAGATTTAAATTCTAAAGTGTCTTCTTGGATGAATAAATCGTACCTTCTGTCCAAGCATCCCAGGCAAACCGATGGAGCCCTAAGTGAGGACAGTAGGGCACAGGGTCAAAAGGTCAAAAGCTTGGTCTTTGATTTGATCAGACTTAATTTAAAATATAAATATATGCCTCTATGAAACGTTATTGATAAAGTCAAGACTGTAAAAAGACATTTTTTTATTTTAGATTTAGTTTATTCAGCTGCAGGGCCCCATACCTTGTCGCCTTTTGGCCCCTGTGACCCTAGGTCACCTGGAGAACCCTTTAAAAAGAGAGGGTAAAAACAGACAAGAGTCAAATTTAGAGAAAAAAACAACTTAATAAAAACTAATTCTGTATTCACCTTGTCTCCTTTAAAACCAGGTAAACCCTGTAAAGCCAATAAAGAACTGAACATCAGAATAGTCAAAAAGACCTCATACTGTTTGCAACAGAACTGTGGCGACTGTGGAGGCTGACCTTTGTGCCCGGTGGTCCCCTCAGACCTGGTAATCCCATGAGTCCAGGGTCACCTTTCTCCCCCTAATCACAAAGACAATTGATTAATTTGATTTAAATTCATAAAAATACATTAGTATTAACAGTATATTACCTTGGGTCCATCTGGACCAGGCCACCCTTGAAGTCCTTGTTTTCCTGGAAGTCCTGGAGCTCCAGTGCGCCCCTGCAGAAACACAGACCAATATTAGAAAGTGTAAATGAATTTCAAATATTGTCTGATGTTTGCAGAGGCAGAACATGTAGGTTTCCTTTCCTGTCCACTAGGGTGTGTTATAGAGCTAGTGTAAAAACACCATGGTCCTTGTTAATGTTTTACCCAAATCTGATCTAGTATCCAGGCAAACCTTTGTCCACCAAAATGAATAAAATCGTAATCGTATAATTGCCAAAGTTTCTAAGGTTTTATTCAGTGATTTATTACTTCTGCTACCAATGAGAACAGTCGTTCTTAACCCGGGGCTGATCCAACCCCTCTCCCATCTGCACCGTCACTTTTGTGTGATTCTATTAAACTGTACATTTTTTACTTTTCCAAAATACAGTCCAAAAGCCGTTCTGCCGACTTTTAACCGTCCCTCCGACCTCTGCTCATTAGTGGACGGTAATAAAACCTTACTAGACCTTGCCCAGTGACATCTGGTCACATCTCCTGAAGCTGCAGTGCGCTCTCATTTAACTTCCTGTCATTAAAACACAGGCCTGTAGAGACACGGTGAACCTGCTGCTGCTGCTGCTGCATGGAGTGATTTATCACGGAGAGCAGAAGCACTCAGGGAGATTAAAGTGCAGAAGTGGAACGCCGGAGAGGCTGGATCAGCAGGACTGGAGTCCAGTGTGAGGGCTAGTGGAGCCAGGCCAAGAAAAGAGGAGGAGGAGAAGGAGGAGACAAGGGAAGAAGTAGCAGAGGAGGATGTGCAGGAGGATGTGCAGGGATGTGATCAAGCGGCGGCGTGTGGACACAGCGAACACCGAGACTAATGCATCGGGACCCGTCCAGCATCTGCACAGGACGGTTTGAGTGCAACGACAGACAAATCACATCACAAAGATTGAGGATGCATCGAGTGGAAACCGGAGGACGAGGGTCCGATATTGAATTATTTCAAGGTCGGGAGAGAGAGAGAGAGAGAGAGAGAGGGAGAGGGAGAGATGTTTAGTAGAGGTAGCAATGCTCACCTTTGACCCCGGGCGTCCAATTTCTCCCTGGAGGAGGACAAATGAGGGGATGAATGTGGAACACTCATTAGAGCAAAGTGGAACACAAGGACACTAAAATACTTCCAACAGAAAAAGAAACACTGCAAACATAAATTTCTCTGATTAAATAAAGGTGTAAAATAGAAAGTAGAAATAAGAGTAAGGATACACACACCTTCTCCCCCTTTGGTCCTCTGATGCCAGGTAGTCCCCGCTCACCCTGAAAAAGGGAGGCAGCTCAGACATTAGTGAGGACGCTGCATTTGAAGGAACAGTCAATAATAAGAAGGTCACATCGATGTCCTAATGTGGCTGCGGCAAATTCACTGAAACATAACTTAATCGCGTTTCATAACCTGGGCAGCATACACAGCAACACTGGGTAGTATTTTCATGTTTACCTCTGAGCCTTGAGGTCCTGGAGGTCCTGAAGGTCCAGGCAAACACCCGGGTGCAGGTTTTTCTTTTTGCTGCACTTCTCCTCCGTTGACACTAGGCTCCAACAGACTCTTAATATCCTTTACACACAGACAGAAGCCCAGAGAGTATGGGCATGAGCAGAGTAGGGATTGGACTGACTGGTGAGCACTCACTGTACAGTACTGATGCAGGACCTACTGGGTTTCCTCGCTTCCACAGCTGAGGCGGCGGAGGGAAGAGTGGAGGTGGAAGAGGTGACGTGAGACAACAGGGGTCAAACCTCAGAGGATCGTCCTGTAAATTGAGACCTGGGAGGAAGGCAGGGGGCGATAGTGATGCAGTAACAGTCAGTGAGCTCCAACACAGAGTGGGGGTGGTCTTACCTGTCTGGGCTGAGAAGATGCTGTCCATGAAAGGCTGATGAGAGGAGGCCCATGCCGGACACAGCAGGATGTGGACGGACACAGTGAGTCTGAGCAGCAGGTTCATTTCTCTGCAACAAACCACAGTCACTGCACTGTGCTTCACAACACATGGCACGTATACGGTCCGTGCTTAATGCAGTAACGGGCAGCTGTCACTTAACCTCAGTCTGGAAAGTGTCACTACTTCATCACTCTCCCCCCTCTTCTCTCCCCCCTTCCTTCTCCCTCTCTCTAATAAACTTGTTGCGGCTCAACACTGCAGCAGATGCAGCTACCGCTGTAATTCCAGCCGTGCAGCAACAGCCTGCCGCAGCCAGAATTAGACCATGAGGACATAAAAGCTGCAGGAAAAGTCTGGCCAGCACAGTAGAAAAGTACCTTTTAAAAAAGGCTAAATATTTAAGTCATTAAATGCGTCACAAAAATAAATCAAATCTGCAGCTTAATTTCCGCAGGAGGTTCTGCATTTGTTTTTCTAGGTGTCAAAAACAATCAATGTCATGCACATCTTCCTCCTCCTTACCTTTCTCTACCTCCGCTGCTGCTGCTGCTGCTGCTGCTGCTCAGACCTGACACCCACAGCTCAGTGTGGCTCCTCACAGCCTTTAATAAATCTGATCCACTTATCGATCCGCTTCTTTCCCTCCGACGCTCGATAACAACACAGATGTTGTGATGCGGGGAGGACCTGCAGGAAATGTGCAGCAGAGGGCGCTCTGTGTCGCCACCTACCGCAACACTGGCTGTGGCAGTACTGTGTAGTCGAGTGTCCGTGGTTGTGGATCACGCCCTCGGTGAAAGGTGTCACTGGATCGACTGCACAACGAGTGAAAAGTGACGTTAAGTTTATTCCCACTCGTTAAGCGAGTTTGAGGCTTTATGTACAACCTGATGACGATGGTTTATATGTAGTGAAATAGCTCCCTCTGCTGGGGGGTTTAAAAGAAATTATTCAAATCCAATGTTACAAAAAAAGTGTACCCAGGAAACACAAAACAAACGGACAGTATTTCAAGTGCAACAAAATATTGAGAAAGAAATTACGTAGTCATGAGAAAATATTTTTTTTAAAAGTAGTACAGCAAAAATAAATGTAATATAGTCACCCAACAGGAAGTAAATGTAAAACCCTTATGACCTATCAGCAGGTAGAAACAGTTGTCAAGAAACACAGTGATATTGGAAAATAATACAGAAGAAAACAAGTCGATCGTAAAAACATCCTGGCTGTCATCTGACAGAGAAGAGAGTGGAACCAATGAGGCAATGACCAGTGTCCTACTGTATTCACAACACATTCAGTCACACGGTGCTGTTGTTGCTGTAAACACACACAGTGGTGAATTTGTTCATTTTCCACCACCTTAGGAGGTCGCACTTTTCAGATAAGCTATCAAATCATCTCTTTCCTTTTTCTTCTTGATCCCGCTGAAAATCATTTTGGTTCCTGGGATGTACTTCTTTGGGTTTTTCAGGTACTCGTCCAGGGTGTCCTCTCCCCACGTGACACCTGCAGCAACAGAGACAGACAGCAGAGGGACACCTGTGAAGGCTCGGGCTTCAGTTGATGTATTACACGGATGAAACTTTTTTTTTTTTAATCCTCATATGGGTTTTCACCAGGTTTTGTTTAGGGATTATGTTATTGGTCCACTCCTGATTGACCGTAATTATGAATGTAATTACGAACTGACCTATCAGTGAGCAGGACTACCTCTTAGCTCTTTGGAGCAACAGCAGTGACTCCTACTGTACCTTTTTCAGTGTTGGCCGATGTGTAGTTGAAGCCAGGGGCCTGACCTGTCTTCCTCCCAAACAGACCCCACAGGTTGGGTCCAGTCTTATGGCGCCCCCCTTCTTCAACTGT